GGAGGCTGAGATACGAGTCGGGTGCGTGCCCTTGCGTTCTTGTTTAAAGAGTGGGCACAGACGGCGGGTGTGGTTATGCCCTGACCATATGTCGAATGTGCAAAGCAATACCGTCGAGGCGATCGCCATAGAACGGCCGACGGGCTTAGGGCGTTCCGCGTCGAGGCCGGGGCGGAGACGACGAGGATGAGGGTGAAGCTGCAAGGCATGTCATCCCAACACGCTCACCGCTAGTCGCCAGTCGTGTGTCTCGACGAGCTCGTCCGACGGTGGAGGCGGCGATGTCGAGAGGGAGGAAGATGCAGCAGATGTGCAGCCCAGCCAGCCCAGACGGCGTGCGGCACCCGCTGATTGGCCGTGCGCACCGGAGACCGCATCACCACCGCCTCACTTTTCCAAGCAACCAAAACCAGGGCGAGCAGTCGCGCGGCTTGCATGCTGACCCAGGGAAGAGCCAGCCATGCCATGCTGAAGCCTGCTCCCCGGTCGAGTGCCGATACAGTGTGAGTGTACCGACTGACGGGGGCGCGGAGCCAAGGAGACTGAGACAATGCCCGTCCATGTCTGTGTAACAGGACAAAAGACGCCGAGGGAAAGAGAGGCATAATAGAGCAAGATACTTACCCAGTACATACAATACAGCAATCACACAGTCCGCTTCCGAAGATACGCGGTTAACGCCGTCGTCGCGCGGATGTCGCGCCGTCATCATAGGTGTATTCGGACGAGATGCATTCCTTCTTTTAGCCTCACTCTAGCCCTCTCAGCCGCCCATTCCCCGAACGCCGCTAAATCGCCCCGTTCATCTGGTGCCTGGCTACAATCTTTCCATGCTAAGTATTAATTACTCCGATGATCCCCTTCCCAGGCACACGCCTCGTCAAACGCACAACCAAGATTTCGTCCCGCTTCTCTCTTTTTTCCCGCTGACGTTGGGTCCGGTTGGCGGTCCTACTTGACATGGGCCTCTTGTCGCGTCGTCCGGTGTATGAGGAATCCAGGCATAACCCGATTAGGCAATCCCGACCAATCGAAACCCATAATATACCAACACTGGATTCCCGACCCATTTCCTGCATAATCTTTTCCTTTTGCCGCACCCAATATCTTTTTTTTTTAAAAAAAAATGCACTCAAATACATACACACATACATACACGCTGCGTATACACTTAGACTCTCGCATGACGTGTCTCTCCCACCCCCTCTCCCTCCCCTCCCTCCTGCAACAACCACCCCCACCCAACACTCGCAAAAGAAACCCGCATGCATGCTTCCATCCACCCCCCCCTCCTCTCCCTCTCAAATCCGGTCCAAAATTCCCAGCTGTCCTCTTTAACCCCTACCCCCCATCCTACTCCATCTACCTCCATCATCATCCACCTTGCACACCCCCCCGTCGCCCCGTCGCCCTATCACCGCTCTCTAAACCCCCCCCCCCTTCCCCTCCTCACACGCTCCCTCCTCTCCCCCCTCAACGCTTCACCTTGGCAGCCCACGCACCACGCACAGTGTCCCCGCGCCCACGCCATCTGACTCATGCGACTGCCCACCGCACACGCCCGGGCGGGCTGGTGCTGCGTGGCTTTGCTGCAGAGGCGGACGTACGGGTATACGGGGGTTGGGGGGCAGGCGCAGTGGTGGGAGATGGTGAAGAGGGCTGTGCACATACTTCTTATTTCTCCCCTTCCCCCGCCCTTCGTATTATAGGTATACTTCTTGTGTGAGGCGAATGAATGAGCAAAGTAAGTGGATGGGTAAAAGTGGGATTATGATTTCGTCCGAATTTGTCTTGTCCCTGCTGGAATTGCTGTGACTGTTTGGGGGGTACTGTGTGAGTAGCTTGTGAATTATATTGACTTCTGATTGCCTTTCTTCAAGTATACATTACACCTTACACCTTCTCTATCTCCTTGTCCAGTACAATCAAGTAGGAGCAATCAGGCTGGCAACTCACCCCCATGCTGTTGCTTTCCCCTTCCCTTCTTGAGCCGCTTGGCGATTGCCATGAGCGAACAAAGCACAAGGTTTTCGGTTTGAGTTGCCTTTTTCGGGGTCTCCATTGTACGCCCTTTTGGGGTTTAGATCTCCAGCAGGGGTATATGTGATAGTTGTGATGTATTGGCATGTGCGGGGTGTGACATGGACTCTCTCTGTTTGGATCACAACTTTATTGTGTTAGTATCATGTGCTGATAGGATGTCTTTGAACAACTCATTGCGCTGGAGTCATGTAACGAGGACGCAGTTCTGGTAAACAGACCGGTACTGTCTTGAGAGTATGGTGTATGCACGAACATACACATTTAGCCGGCGCTTCGCTAATGGTACTGGCTTCTCTGTTCGTATCTCCCACATTCGTCCATTTACCGAACACGATACCTCTTTCCGATTTAGTCTTGAACCCGAGTTCCAACATGATCAACCATCAAAGGAAGCGAAAATAGAAATTAAGCCGAACACACGCTTTGAACGTGAACTGTTTGTTTGCCTAGCAGCCAAGAGAGCACTAACAAGCTGTCCATCAATCTGTGGAAAAAGTCCAATCTGTTTGATGCGGCTAGACACTCATTCATTTGTTAGTATTATGCAACAAAAAACAAAGCGTGTTTGGTCGCGCGGGGAACAGCATCATATTAGGATAAGTAATAATAACGAGGAAATGAAAAAAGGGAGGTAGGCAGGCGGCAATCATCTATTACAAGTAGCAAGTAAACGCTTCCTAAGCAGCAGTTTCCACAGATGGCTCGCTCTTTGTTTGCTTGCCAGTGCGTCCGCGTGGGGTTTCATGTGAGCTCTTGGTCTCATGCTCGTCTGAACTGTCGTCAATAGGGCTTTGGGGCCGGCTGTCGTTCAAATTGCGACGACTACGCGCCATCTGCAGTTTGATGTTAGCTTCTCACTCGTTTCTCACAGACAAAAGAAATCAACACGTACCCATGACCGTACACCTCCAATCAGACCAAGGTTGTAACCAGCGGTGAACTCTGACGATTCCCTCGAGGGGTTGTTCGCACGCGGAATGTCTAGATGGCTGAGTCGCGAGAGTGCCGAGGGTGATCGAGCGGAGCCTGAGACATCCATGGCTTCGGCTTGCGAATGCTCCTTTGTGGGAGTTCTGGCCGGGCTTCCTGGTCGACTTGATTGCCAGAATTGGCGGAAATCTTTGCTGAGTTCTATGCCGGTCGTAGTCCAGTTGGCCTTGATGCTGTCGCGCAGCTCCGCCATTGTACGCTTGACATCGAGCTCATTCTTCTTCAGCCACGATACGTTGAGTTCCTTTCGTGACGTTCCGCGCTTCAATTGGCGGTCGATGTACTGGTCGTAATCTCGTACAATCCTACAATATATTAGCAGGCTCCTGACTGGCGGTAGCAACACTCTTACTTGGTAATGATACCCGTTGTGCTAAGACCCTCTGTTCTTTGGGTGACGAGGAACATGCCTCGCTCCTTGATGGGGCCGTAGATGTCATCGCCCTCGTCCGCCCCGTATGGCAGATCGTCGTGAGCAACATAGTCAATGTTGTGCTTCAACAAGAACTCGGCCGTAACGATCCACGGACAGTCTTCAATGACTTCGTCAACCCACTTGCAATGGCGTACGCTTTCGGCGCGCTCCCTTGCAGACAAAACAGTCAGACCCTTGCGCTTGTGTGTCTCCTTGTTGCCCGTGACACCGACCACCAGGTGGACGTCTGGAAAGGCAGTCTTGGCTTGTTGAAGTGCACGCATGTGACCAATGTGGAACAGGTCAAAAACACCATCTGCGTATATCCTAACTGGACGTCCCTGGGGTGGAGGGTTCGTCTTGTAACCCACGGGATCGACCAGACCGGCCTTTGGAGGGGGCGGCATGCGCATAGATTCGGCCTCGCCTGCCTCGCCATGCTCGCTGTCTGGAGGGGATGATGTGCGGCGGCTCTTCTTGCTGGCGCGCTCGTCGTCGTCGTTCTCGCCGTCGTGAGGGCCGTCTGCGACACGTACTCGCTTGGCCGTGCCATTGGTGTCGGCCTGGCGCTCCTTCTTGGACGTGACGGTCTTGAGCACCGGGTCTACGGTGCCCTCGTCGGATGCATCGCGGGAAGAGGGTTGGACGGGGTCCATTACGTCCTGCTTGACGGAGTCTACGGCCGAGGTTCGCTTTCGTTTTGGTGGCATAGGCGATGGCAGATGGGTGCAGGCGGTGAACCAAGCAACGAGAGGGGGAGGGCGACTACGGGCGCAACGTCTGTCTTCTTACAGAGCACGCGCTCTTGGCGAAAATGCGTTGGGATGGAAGCGACCGCAGGTGTGGGGTGGAGGAGACCGAGGAGCTATGTGATGGACAACGCGCGGTCCTGATACGCGGAAGACGTGGGTCGGATTCCGAAAGCTGGAGCTACAGTGACCGCTACCAAGGGGGCCGCTTAAAGGGTGAAGGAGGGAGGTGTCGAGAAGGCGACACGGCCGGGCTCACCAGGTGTAAGTACTAGGCAGAGCACAGGAACAACACAGACAGGCAAAGTGGCCAGAAGAGTGTGCACAATCGCGACACAGTGGGCAAATAAGCGTCGCCAGATACGCGTAGATTACACCTCGCATCTTCCCATAAATTTCGCACCGCTTCCCTGATCCTAATCGCGATCGCCCTTGGCATGACGAAGTTCACCCGCCGCCCCCTGCGCCACAGCACCGCATACCAGCAATCGCCAAAGACCGCCCACGTGTGGCATTTCCCATTCTGATTCCTGCATTCTGTAAGATTGGCCTTCTTCCCGTCCCCTTGCTACAGTACAGCAGAGCCTGCAACGCGCCAGACTCGACAAGCACGCGATGACGACTTGGAATCGATCCAAGCCATCAATTCAATTCAAGCCCACTGCCGTCTGAAGCCGCCGATGGTCTTCATTTGTGGCGCGTAGACCGCAAGTTTAAGTAAAGAGAGTAAAAAAAGAGCACATGAGGTCATACGATATGGTGAGACAACAGGGCTTGACTGCTTGCGGTAATAGGCCTAGGCTTCATGTTCCTGCCCTAGCCGGTTCGTCCAGCGTCCAGACCCGGACCTCACCGTCATCACCAGTACTCAGCACTACCTCCTCATCTTCAGACCGCTTGCCCTGGTCTACTCTCCGCGCCCAGGCCACATGGTTGATCTCAAACACATCGTGTGCTGAAAATAGCTCTGCAACAAGTGTCCATTCTGTCGGTGACTGCGCCTGCGCCGCATCAAGCTCCATCTGATTGCCATTGGCAGTATTCGAGGCATCCTGCCTCCAGCGCTCTTTGTACACGATGATCTTGCCGTCGCTACCAGCACTGACAATCATGCCTGTCCTGCGGCTCCATGAGACTGAGTAGATGGCGCGTTCGTGAACTCGCGGAAGTATGGCTTCCTGATACCAATCTTCGTCAATCGCCGCCGAACGGATGATGCTTGGTATACCCGTGTTGCTGCTCGAATTATCATCCCTCTCCTTTGCCTTTCGCCTCCATATCCTCACCGTGCGGTCATCCGAGCATGTCGCCAGCCGTGGCCCCGAGCGCTCAAGGTTCTCAATGTACTGTGTCTGCTCTTCGGATAGCCCTTCTCTCTGTGCTCTCCAATCCTTCTTGCTCATTCCGCTTCCCTCAAACTCAGCCCACCATACCGTCTGACTGTGTCCATCTATCATGGAAACCTGCACCCAATCGTCCGCGTCTTCCCTGTAAAGTCTGACTGTGTCATCGTAACTTGCACTGGCCAGAAGATCCTCTTCTGGATGCCACGCCACGCATTTGACGTCCCCGTCATGCTCTTGCAACACGGCTACTGTCTCAAAGTTGTCATCTTCCAGTTCCTCCCATATCCACACGCTCTTATCACGCGAACAAGTGGCTAGGTACTGCCCGGAAGGGCTCCACGAGAGACACTTAATCTCAGATTCGTGACCATCGAGAATGCAACTGAATTGATAGTCTTCTGCTTCATCGTCCCCGTCATCGTCTTCAGTGTTACCCATGCGCCGGTTCGTGAAGTCGTTTTCAAGTGTGCCGCCCTGCTCTTCGCGCCGCCAAATGCCTGCGCTCGAGTCGAAGCTACCTGTAGCCAATATGCTCTGGCCCTGTGTGCCGGGCTTCCATGATACTGTCCGTACGCTGCGCTTGTGACCTCCGGTTATCGAGTGAAGTAGTGTAAAAGATGTAAGACTATACACGCGAACGCTTCGGTCTGAACAGGCAGTCGCGACAATGGGAAGAGTCGGGTGTGGCGCGGACTGCCATGTTCGCGAGTTTGAGGGTGGTGTGAGGGTTGCGAGTCGTGAGAGTTTGTGTGTCTGCGTGTCTGCTGGTGGAGACATGGTAGAGGGAGGGGTTGCGCGCGAACCGCAGCTTTTGATAGTCGTCAGAGACAAGCAATTGTGAGCTTGGAGGGACGAGACAAAAGCCCGGTACAGGTCGAGATCTAGCAAGCTTGTGTCTGCTGTTCTCGCTGAGCTATGCGACCGAGTCAATGTTTTCGAGACTTCGAGAGTGGGGGGCACAGAAAGTTCGGATGAGCGTCATAGGTACGCCAAGCATCCCACCACCACCATCTCCGGTGCGTTATCGGACATCCGCATTCGTTTGCATCCGTCGCCAAATCATGTGATCATATGATTTCTCTAAAATTCATTTATCTGTTCATTTTGAATCCATGAACAACCATATTATCTATTCTGAAGTCATCCCGATCTATCAAACCTATACTCTTAGAGCACGCCACTTCCCGAACTGGTGGATCCTGCCCTTTGTCGCTACATACAATAATGAATATATCAAATATCTACAGAAAAGAAACATCATGAATCTATTAGCGCTCAAAGAGAAATCTCGTAACACAAATGAAATCTATGCAAAGGAGTGTTTAGCTCCAGACTCCGCACTGGTAGGTGGCCGGCTCATGAGTGAGCTACGGGATGCTGTCGTAATCGTCATCAGCAGATCAGCCAGCGTTTGGTTCTCCTGGTCCACCATATTATTTTTCGCTCTCTTCATACTATGCATCTCCACTTTGAAACTGGTTTTGCTTTTAGGCGACTTGATTTCCTCAAGGGAAGTCGTCACCATCTTGGCCCACATACTGTGCCCCGAGGCCATTGTAAGAGTCCTAATGTGCCGTCTATGGTTGACGAGATTATTCACAGAGTCTGATTCTTCATTCCAGCTCCCTTCGCTGGATAGTGATTTCTCCTTGCGAAGGCTCCATGGCCACTTGGAACTGAGGCTAGAAGACGAAGTTTCGGCATTTGACTGCGCCCGCTGGAGGTAGCCGAACTCGTCGTGGTTTCTTTGCACGAGCACAGCATGATCTGCGCATCCTGTTTGCGACCTGAGATATGTCTTGAAAAAGGAAAACGGTATTGCCTTGAGACTGAGGCTCTGCAGCGATTGGACGTAAATTTCCTTGATACCGCAGAAAGCAAACACCTTTGCCTGGCTGAAATCTGTTTGTCCATTCACCATGTCGAGCTGTTGTGCCGAGAACGTGGAAAAATGCAGAGCCTCTTCAGGGCATTCCCGGAGGAGGGCTTCGATCTGATTGCCAAATTTGCGCATGAAAGCGGAGACTTTAGTATCTGGTTCTGAGGAGGCTTTGATCCGCTCCAGGCACCGGTCCAAAGTGAGCCCGTCGAATGTTGAGAGGATTTCTAATTGATGACTGTCGAGCTGATCGTCATCAAGTTTGACCATTGGGAGCCGGCCTGAATTCGCCCGCGGTACCACGACATCCATGCTTTTCATGCCGGGTCTTGGTTGTACCAAGAAAGAGGCGAGGTAGGTGCCGCTCTTCGGAACAGAGTATTGTCTTTCACTAAAAGCATGTAGGCGGATGATAAGATCCTCGAGGTCGCCACAGGGGATCTGCAAGCTGCGTGCTATGTTATGGCTGACCTGCTCGATTTCCGCGAAGCTGTAGCCTAGTTGTTGTAATCGGTGTGCTTCTGATGCGTCGACTTTTCTCGAAAGTATGAGCATCTGTCCCTTTCCAAATACGACTGGCTCGACTCTTCCTGACTCGAGATCGTTGATTGTTATGTTCACATCTGGAGTAGTCTTAGTTGTATGTGTACCCGTCCACGTGCCGCGATTGTTGGCCATCGTGCCAGTAGTCAAAACATCCTCATATAGACACCCCAGCTTCTCGAGACCCATATCAAGAGCTGTAGCCATCTCATCAGCTGTGACACAAAACAATTTGCGGAATGTGGCCGACGAGGTTGCATCATCGCTTTCGTGTAACGAGCTGCGTCTTTTGTTTCCGGGAGAAGTCGCTTCGAGGTATCCGGCCAGCTGCAGGTGTTCACGCATTGACGGAATGAGATCGGAGATGCCATTCCAGTTTCGTGTGACCCTGAAGATCCATTGGAAAACAGGGTGGGACGTGTCAAGTTCGTCGTCGAAAGCTCCTTGATTGAAATGCTGTATGATGGTCTGGCACGGCATCAACCCAGTATTGTTGACCAGCAGTTTCCCTGAGGGGTCAAAGGTAGCAATAGCTAGAACGGCTTGCTGCGCCCTGCTCTTTACCTCTTCCCGTTGGCGTTGTTTGATGATGCCGAGTATGACACACGCAATGCATGAAATTGTTAACTGATCCGTGTTAGCAGCATAGTTGACATTTGCAGCATGTGACTTACAAGACAATAAGCGACAATGAGGTTTACGTTCTGGTCCGCTTCCTTGCCATCGTGGTAGGCCTCAATCTGATACCAAGTGCCTATTGCTGCCGTCCAGTGCATCCTAGACCATGTCAGAAAGATTATCATAACATACGTGTGCGGTATCACTCACCCGCAAATGCCCACAGCCAGAGCAAAGGACACAAATACGCGCCTCCAGATATTATTCATCCAAAGTTTTCCCCAGTAGAAAAAGAGGCCAAACCCAACCGAACATATGACCACAGCAACAACTGCAGAACCTACCACATTCGCCCAGTTCGCCGACATGCTGCAATTCTCGATACCGATGTTTCCCAGAAAATGCATCATGGTAGCGGCACCACCTGTACACAGTCCGCATACAGCAAGCGATCCGTATCGAATGATAGCTCGCCGACCCAGCTCGTGAAATCTGATCGCGACCGAGAGACCCATAAAGATGGGGATAATGGGTACTAGAGCTGACAACACCGCATATGTCTCATTGTAGTATAGCTGAATTTCTAACTCGCCGTCACCAAGGATGATCGCACGGTTTCCGACAAAATGCATGCACCAGACTGCGACTAGCCCGAATGTTACTGAACAAATAGCAATGTCCGCCCTATAATGTGTGAGACGCTGTGATGTGATATTTGCTTTTGAGTACGTACCAGGGACGCCATCCTGATCCAGAGGCTCTTCTGTGCAGTAACTCTACGGTGGTAAAAGTACCTGCCAGGCTGACAAGAAAGGAGGCGAATACAAGATACGGGAGGAAGGATATGGGAGGCGTAGTCCCGACGAGATATTTGTCTTGGATGTCTGGCCGCAACATGGTATATGCGACGGGATTGTGGTGGTTCAAGGAAGAGGGAAATGCACCTGTGCATAGACGCCTTGCCGGTAGATCTGAATATCGTTAGAGTATGGTTCTCCAGCACATTACATCAATTGAGAAGAGTCACCTACGCACCTGGGCCAAAGCGAAGTCGCAACGCTGTTGCTACACGCTTTCCAAAAAGTGTGCCTTCGACCAAATTCGTCTATCGCAAACGTCAATCTTTCCTATAGCAGCCAGCCGCATCAATGCGAAACAAGTGAATAACTTCGAATGTACCAACCACATCAAATGAAGTCTCTGGCACTTTATTAAATCAAAAATCTAGCCTCCCCTCTTTCAACAACGGACAACCCCGTTACACCATCTCTCGCCACATGAATCCTAGAACAGACCACAAGGCTCCACAGTAATTGCTCCTTGCAGGAGTTGGCGCTAGGTTGGGTTGCGAACGCCACAATTTATGCGCTAAATGGTGGTGACAGCCGTGGGCGATGAAACAGGCTCCCAGGGCTGAGGGCTCGATCAATGGATAAAGTTTCTTGGCATTTTTGACACTTAGAACTCTAGTCGATTATCGTTGTTTGGTGTGCTTTGATCTACCGATGCGCTGCAATTTCATATATCTCAGTGTGAGAGCGCTATTCCTGTGGCTTGGTAATTATCAAGAAAGTTACCCATACAAAGCAATGGATTTCACGAGCTTGTAAGTCCTGTATATAATTCGCATCCGATAAGTGCGCCGTAAAGGGCTTTCTTGTTTGTCCAAGTATCGAAATGGCAAGCGTTGTTCCACTGCCTAGCGCTGGCTGACAAGCTTCCTCAAACAAGACATGATGCTACGAAGGGCGAGAGTCACCAGTTGACGTGAGCTCATGTGGCGCCTTTCGGTGCGATAACACTTGGCGAAGTTGTTAGTAATTACTGTGGAGTGGAGTTTGGCGGTATCGGTTGGCGAGTATTGATCAGATCGTGGATAATAAATCAGAGGGATCGTTGTCGTTGAGCCACTGTGTTTTGGGTGCTTATGGAAATCTCGTGTGTCTGAATATCTCGAGCTTTGAGTGATGCTATTGTGAAGCATTCATAGATACGTAGGGCTTTGACGATCACGTGTTGATTGTCCCACTGAATTCTGGTCATGAATTGAGAAGTTGGACATTTGAGCTGGGAATCGAATAAGGTTTGCGGATCTTAAATTATCTGATAATTCTATCCGACGGAGTCACAGCCAATTAGCAGGCCGTTTTACCAAGCTTTTTTCTACCGCCAAGGACTTGTACGATATCAAGTGTTGCATCCACAAGGTTGCAGCTAAGAGTGGAAACTTTGGTGTACAGTTCCTTGACAGCTGTCTGCCGGAGACAAGTCCCAGACCATGTCAGTGTAGGCTTGAAACTAATACCTTCCACAGGTTAGTATAATAAGTGAAGACGTATGTGGTGGGGGCGGACAAAAGAATAAACTTTAGGCCAACGCCTTTTTCTATATATACCTTCAGGGCTTGGTGTACCTCCATTAACTGAGGCCTGGGGCGCTCATGATTCAGGCCCCTTTCTCAGCCAAGAGAAAGCTTGCCGCCCTGCCAAGGAACGAATTCCCTAAGATTCGCCAAGGATTGAGCAGCGAAGCACCACACACGTGGGCGGGTTCTGAGAGTCCTGCATTTTTTGATGATATATATATGTCGTTCTAATTGCTTTATTACTATTCGGATTCTGATTGAGGCCAAAAAATGGGATCAGAGTCGGTTGTGCCTGACCCGATGCAGTGTTAGAGGTAGCGACGCATAACCTCGTTCTTGTTTGCAACGTTATTGCATAGAAATAGACGCATTGAGTATTTACTCTTGATCGTGTGATAGAAGAAGTCTGAGGTGAAACAGCTTCTAATGCATGTCAAACAGATTCCAACAAGCTGGTAAACCTAATCATGTCAATCGTGACACTAGTGCAGTGCGCTAAAGCCAAGTATCAGTAGCTGTCGTCCAACCAGAAGCTGCGTTCGGATGCTGGGCCTGTTCTTCTCATGCTCACACAAAGACCCTGCATCAGCCACCACAGATGATGTGCAGGCAATTTTTGAGAGCTACATCAGGTGAACGTGGCATGGACACCCTGCGCCCATGTTCAAATACCTGTTATCCAGGGCTTATGCGTTCGAGAATATGTTATGAGTTTGTAAACATGGTCATTCAGATCTTCTATTGCAACCGGAGTAGAGACCTGAGGACGCCTAGTAGGAAAGTGGATCAAACAATAACTCTTCTTCCGAAGTGGCAATACCGTAGTCAGTGATGGGCTTGATAAGGATTTGGTGAGGATTTTGGACTTGATGATTGTCACCAGCCACTGAACGCGGTGTAGAAGGCAGTAAACATCCGTCGTTAGTACCTTCGCTTGAGTTGTTAAGGGCCATGTCTTTGTGGTGTTCTGCATATATACCTTCGTTCCAATCGGTGTCTCTCCCCACTGACATATCATCTGTGTCTGAGTAGACTTCGTCTGAAGTGGAGCCAATACAAGCTAACGTCGGCGGTGTAGGGTCGCGAAGTAGAATCTTTTGTGAATGTACCCATAGATTACTTGCGACATATCGCGTGACACGAGCGGTGTTGGGATCAATGGCGTGTTCTGATCTATGGGCATTATCTCGTCCACCCTCACAAGTAGCGTTGCTGAGGATCTCCATCTTGGGCTTCAGCGAGATAGAAATTGTTCTTGCAAAGCCTGTTTGAACAAGTGATTGGGCAATCGTAGGAATTAATTGGGCTCTCTGAGACAAAGCCTATTCGAGTATTAGCAGCACACTGAGTGATGTGAAGCGCTCCATACTTCCATGTACCCGCTTCTCCATAACGCAGGGGCTACATCAGCCAATCCTAGACTGAATGTATTTGCTTTGGCTTTTAAACCAGTGGCATGTTTGGATATTGTACCGCGTATGGAGAGACGTAGCGCGCTATCGACCATGCTTTGCACGTCAGCTTGAAATTGTATCATCGAGGAAAGACTGTGCGGTGCCTGGGAACTAAGATCGACCCGCGTATCTCTTTCTTCACGGTTAAGGTGTCGGCCGGGAGATTCCAGAGGCGTCAGTGACATGCTAGTGACAGATCGTTTTCGTTTTCTGCTAGCATCAAACGGAAAAGGTTTTGGTACATCGTGACTTGGGGCGTTTCCAGTCGATTCTGCATCAAAAAGCATCATAGTCTTATCTTCGGCTTCAATGCGCTCATTCGGAGAGAGATTCGATCTCGGCACTACAAGCTTCCGGCGTGGACCTATCTCTAGAATATCCAGGCAGAGGCGAACTGAATGAAGTGATACGGAAATGACATCATCTGGTGGCCCAATATCTGTAGCTGGGACATCTGAAAACAGCCTATGATGCTTTTGTCCTACTTCCTCTCTAGCGACAGCAGCGTGACTGATATTGAGTCGAATCGTTCCCGGGTTTGTTGTGGGATTGCTGGGAAGACTCGGTCTTAACATTAATTGCTGCCATACCTTAATCTGGTTAGAGGAAAGGTGTGAGCTGATGTGAGTATGGCTTACTGGAGCCTGGAGAATAGCATTCGTGAGGATTTGGAGTTGCTTGTGGGGCAGCGCCTTGTTATTCACCGTCAATTGTAAATCCACATGCATGTCGTGTCCACGATCAACCCACAGTGACCCGGATGCAAGGGCTTCAAGACACTGAACTGGTGTGAGCTGTGCAAGGTAAGGTGAGTCCTGTTTTGGTGAGATGGTGATCAATGTTGTGAGCCATAGCTCGTGATGTGCAGTGGGTGCATGCAGTACTGCGCGCCCCAGCTCGACGGATCGCAACATCCTATCTCCGGATGACTCTCATGTGTGTCAAGGAAGAGGATTGAGGGGGCATCGAGAAGGAGTGTGTAAGAAGAATGACGGGTGGCAGGTGTGCGGTATCGCCTTCCGCGCCAAGACCCGGGACCGCCGTGTCACTTCATGCCAGTCGGTACTACGTCACCCCCTGCGCCTTCTCCGCCCTACAGTTCCACAACAGATCCCGACATGAGGGTTCTCACCAGGAACGTGCTCCAGCGCGTCAGTCAAATTCGAGTATGCGGCAGCACCATCTCATCCTCATCCGCTATCTTGTCAGCATCCTGCAGGTCTTTTCACTGTAGCCCGACACCACGCACCGATGGCGTCTTCCGAGAGCTCACTGCCATGCGAGTGCGCACTCCCTGGATAGAGGCTCTACGACAACAACAAGCAGAGGCCAATCAGCCTTCTGAGCCGTCCAAAAAGGCCGAATTGCCCAAGGATCGCAAATTGATGCCAAAGCGCATGAGCGAAAGCTACCATTCAGTCGTACTTCCTCTCGCCCAGGATCCATGGATACTCGACACATATCTCAATGCATCGGGTCACATCCGCCTCGGGACCATTTTCATGGATCTTGATGCACTTTCGGGTATTATTGCGTAAGCGTACAGTGGCCGTGCAGAATAATCACTTTCGTCTAAACATGCCTACAGATACAAGCATACAGGAGATGACGTGACCACTGTTACTGCAAGCTGTGACCGCATCACCATTCATTCTCCACTAACAGAGATATGCGATCTGGAGCTCTCTGGTCGCGTTACATATGCGACAGGCAGGAGCAGCTTGGAAATCACCATGCAGGTTGCAAAGGCACCCAAAGAGGGTAAAAAGACAAGAGATGAAGACGTCCTCATCAATTGCACCTTCACAATGGTTTCTCTGGACCCCGTTACGAAGAAGTAGGATCTTTGACACCTGTGATATTGATTGGCGACTGACAACATTACTAGACCAGTGAACGTCAATCCGTTAAAGATTGAGACACCTGAAGAACAACGCATCTACGCTCTGGGTGAACGCAATTCAAGAGTGCGAAAAGAGCGTCGGGAAACCTCCCTTCTTAAGCATACACCAAATGATCTTGAGAGCGATCTGATCCATGCGTTTTGGCAAAAGCAATTGCAGTACCACGGCATGTTACGTTCTTAACAACAATCAAATGAGTCTGTGGGCTAATTGATACAGACCCATATGACGAACTTCGTAAACCCGACAATGTAATTCCCATGGATGCAACCCGGCTGCAGACTGCGACCATCATGCAGCCTCAATACCGTAACCGGCACCACTTTATGATATTTGGTGGTTTCCTCCTCAAGCAAACCTTTGAGCTCGCCTTCACTACCGCTGCAGCCTTTGCCCATGCCCGCCCCACCTTCGTGTCGCTCGATCCATCCACCTTCCAGAACCCTGTGCCTGTAGGCAGCATACTGTACCTCACGGCAACAGTAGTGTATACAGACCCGCCACTTATTGGCGCACCAGGTGAGGAATTTGACGAAAACTCGAAGTACACACGAGTGCAAATTCGCGTTGACTCCAAGGTGAGGGACGTGGAGCATGGCCGCTCGAAGCCGACTGGTCAATTTAACTACACGTTCACAGTGCCGAAGAACATCAGGGTTATGCCAAGAACATATCAGGAATTTATGATGTATATTGATGCGAGGAGGCGAGCAGCGCAGGTTAGGCAGACCCTAGAGGAAGGGAACACGGTCAGTCCGAAGACGGCGGAGGACAGTCTCACGGAATAAGACGCAGAATGCAAGTGTAGGATCTAAGAATGCTACCATATTGAATATTGATTTCACAAAAAGCGTTGTTGAGATTGATCAAAGTCAAGTCAAAATGTACGCTCTAAATAGCCAATGAATACACCGCGCTATACGTACTCTAGTCCCAACGCCATTCAATAACCCAATCTGGCGAATGCAGCCTCACAGCTGCAGGATGCGCCTACTATGCGCCTACTATGCGCCAACAACGCTCGAGCTGAAAAAAAAAGAAAAAGAGGTATCGCGCGTTCAGACACACAGGGCTGTCGGACAAACAATAACAAAACAACAAGATCGGGAAACAACGATATCGGACCAAATATCGCGAAGGGGGCTCAACGGGGGACCCCCCAAAAAAAGGGCGGTGAGGCATATGCCGTTCAAGCTAGTCGTAGTAGCCCCCAAGCACCGTCGCGTTGCAACATGTGCACTCGGCTGCATCTCTTCATCTGCATCCGCTCGTTAGCCTCGCTCCACAAATAAACCCATCGTGCCATCTAATTCCACAAGCGCCTCCTTCTCTCCCCCCCCCATTTCCCGACGCAGGGTGGCTGCCAAGCGTGTCCCCCCCCACTTGCCATGTGTCCGTCCCGTTGTCGTTTTGCCCACTTTCCCGCGCCCCCGTTCAAACCACACAACGTTTCCGTTTCCCACGACTCCTCCTCGTCCTCCTCTTTTTTTTTTTTTTGCGTGCAGCACCCAGAGAGAAAGAGAGAGAAAATTAAACTTTCTAACAAGAAAGAAATGGAGATGAAAACGTACCGGATGCAGGGTAGTTTCTGGATGAAGGTGATTTATAGCTCATCGAGCTCGAATTCCAAGGCTACGTCTTCGGAGCAGTCGGTGCAGTAGTAGTTTGAGAAGCCGCCGCATTCAATCTTCATCTTGGAGCACATGTCGATGGACCAGGCGTCGTAGGAGTAGCCGGAGAGGAGGCGGGACGAGCAGACTTCGATGCTGTTGGCCCTGTTTTTTTTTTGCTGGTTAGTTTTTGTTTTGGAATTCCCTCAGTCTTTCGGCTTTTGAGGTATGCTGGTGAGAGGGGGGGAATTTACCAGATGTAGTAGTCGTGGTTGCAGTAGTACCACGAGTAGGTGTATGAGCACATGATTTCCGTTTGGATTCCTGGGAGATGCTGGAGAAAATGGGGGTTTTCGAGATATGGGCCTTTGGTTATGGTCTTTTAGGTATTTACAGTGAGAGGTCTATATATATCTGGTTAGCTGACCGCTTATTTTTCGAATTGTTCTCTCGTAAATTTATAGTTTGCTCTCCCATGTGGCAATCGGGGTCTATTCTTTTCTTTCCGCGGAAACCGAGGGTCGATGTTCTAGACTCTCTCTTTTTTTTTCCTGGCGCGGTGGTCGTGGCGGTGCAGATATGGCATGTTTGTGGAGTAGCGGTGATGGAATGTTACACACCTCGAGTCTTGCAGTATCGTGTCCCCAAGCTTGCCACGCAACAGAACGATTTCAACAGAAGCGATATCGGAGGAATAAGACTTGAACGCGTGTACAGATGTCGGAGTATGGTTTTCCCTTTTTTTTCTTCTCGTGAATATCAAAGACAGGAAATGGTATGTGAAGCTCTTGAAGCAACACGGCGGATTATAAACGCAATCAGTATACGTTGAGCACCCCAGTAACCTCACGCGAGCCCGGGGCGGCATCTTTATAATCACTCATCTGCATCTCGCCGTCTTACAGACAACTAGTCTGACTCCGTGGTCTGACTCCTTTGATCTTCGAAGCCGGGGGAGGAGCTTGGACCCCTGGGAAATGGAATGCAAATGGGGCCCCTACAGGCCTGCTCGCTCCGTATCACCCCCGGATTAGCGATAAGGAATGCAAAGCCCGTCCAAGCGGGCCCAACCAGATGAACGCTTTTACCCTGGAAGAGGAAACTCTGTCGGGGAGGCGCGGCTGATGCGGTTCGGCTATGCGAGGACAGGTATCAAGAGGCGGTGGAGAGAAGGGACCCTCGTGCCTCTTCTTGACACGTTCATACTACATACTTGTGCGCCATTCTAAAGTGCCAACAGCACCCCCTCGTGTACTTTTTTGCAGAACGCCACATCACGAACCTTCAGCTCTCTCTCTCTCTCCTCTCGGTCTCCTTTGTTTCCCAACAAAATCCCCGTTGAAACTTGTGGCCGAACAACGGTCATTCGGCGACGAGGGAGAGAAGAACCCAGGTACCCCAGACTTTGTTCGCCTCACCCCTTCGCCTTTCGTGCGCCGGTGACCGGTTGGACCCTGAAGAGTGCAGAGCACACTAGCCATGATAGCTTATGCAGGGTTTCCCTCCAGCTCCAACCTCGAAGCGTTGTGCGCCCTCATTGGCTACCGGCTGCATGCCGGAACACAACGAGATGGATAGCCGGGCTCTTGGCCAGAATAGACGGTCTGAATTGGATGGACCATGGCGAAATCAGAACTAGAGCCTGACATGTGGCTGGCCGAGTGTGCCGATAGTAACTGATAAGAGAGTTTGGTTCCAGCGGCGGCCTTGTACACATCCATTGTTATAGTTCTATGCTAATCGGGACGCAACGGCGTAGTTGGAGAACACAGAAATAAGGGCGAAACCAACAAAAAGCCTCATGTACCTAATGGATCTTCTCGAAGGAGAAAAAAAGGGGGGGGCCCGATAGCCTCAATCTATCGAATACCACCTTAAAGAAAAAGTCCGAGGCGACAGCGCGAAAAAAGACGATTTAGTCCCCGAACTCCCTTTTTTGCGGCGGCGGCTACTACTACTACTATGTAGCACACTTTTCTGTCCCTTTTCTTTGCTTCGGTCGGAACTTGACAGCCGCCCAAGAAAAAAAACTCCGCAAACCGGCGCCAGTGCGCACCGCGCGCCCGCGCCCTTGCGGCAATTGCTCGCTCACACACACAACTTCCCGCCAGCCAGCCACACACACACACGCGAACGTTCCCACCTTTTCTGCCGCCCCGTTCTCGTCGAACCTCCCTTCGGTTCCGAAGACTGTCGGGCTCCGCGTATTGCGATACCGAAGAGAATCAATGGGTTCGCAGGAGAATTGCCCAGTTGGGGAATTGCAAGGGTCAGCATGCGGTGGCGATGTGCTCCAAAAACTTACGGGCTCGGAAACGGGCGGGATGAGGCGGTCGGTATGTGTGTGAGTGGGCGGGCACATATTGTTGCTGTTACTGTTGCATCAAAGTGCCTGAGGGTTACCGTGGGAATGAATTAGGAAATGCAAGTGCATTATTTGGTAAAAAAAAAAAACTCGTTTATCTGGTTAAGTGTGACAAATGACGGGTATGGCGTAAGTAGGGCTGGGTTGGGTAGCTTGACGGTTGCATGCTGGATTGATGGACTATGGGGCAGTTTCTGGATTGGTGCTGGCGTGTCGTTTTAAAGTTCAGTTTCAAACATTGACTATCCTTCCTGCGTACTACGTCTCTCATCTAGCTGCCTAGGTGATATACAATTCACCGTCTTTTCGGCTTGTCTAAGGTAGAGCAGAGCTTAGCACATGCTGTTTTAGTACAAATACATAGAATTCCCCGATCCATACTAGTAGTACGCTTTCTGATTATCGAAATGCCATTTGATAGAGTATAGAGAAATATCTCTTGCCAACTTTTTCTGCCATCTAATTGGATTTGTTCTTCGGGAGTGGAGTGACAAACTTGTCTTCGTACATTTCCTTCGACAGCATACCTTTCTCCTGCATATCTTGTACCAACTGCGGGGCAGACTTCCAGTATTGCTGTACTCTCCACTTGGAGGGGTTAGAGTCTCGTAGCCACACGAGACGGCCATTGATTTCCGTATCATGCTTCTCCGCAGCCGCTTGCTCAGCACCTTCTTTCGTCTTGAAGTCGATCCAGCCCAGCAGGCGTGGGTTTTCCTTTTTGTCGCCAAAGAAGACTGACATATCGCTGAGCCTCTCAATACCGTATTGGCCAAAGTTTTCCTCAATGATCTTATGTGCGTTTTGTCTGGCTTCGCTGATTTTGGCATTAGGCGTCCAGCCGGGTGTTTTGACTGAAAGAATCATTCGGCGTCCTTCGGCCAAGGGGCGGAGAGCCTCTTGCGCAGCATCGTCGCCTGCGTTGTTGAAGAAGCGAGATCCATAGAGCGAGTTTTTTGACGTCGGCTCAGGCTCCCAGTAAAAGTCGCTTTTCAAAGGCTTGACTACAATGCTTTTGTTCTGTAATGTTGCATGGTTAAGCTTTTTGACCGCTCTCTGGGCTTCTTCAGAGCTTCCTAGCTCCACAAAGCACATGGTGTCATTCTGGAATGTGAAGCGATCCACTCGCATTTGTATCTTCTTTCTATGCCCATATTAGTCGAGATGTGCAATTGTAAAGCTTGCATGCGATTTAGAAAGCCAATCAAGAACATACATGTTGAAGCCATCTTCCTGCAAAAGCTTCTCAATGTCGCCTCTTGATAGTCGCTTCGATAACTTTAGCAAACAAATGGAATTTGCTGTGTTACCGGCTGAAGCGGTACGATTATCTGTGAGAGCGATCTCTGGACCTCTTGAGGGTGTTTGAATGATATCCTCCCATGCTGATATACTGGAAGTGAAGCTTCTCCTTGGCAATGACGAAGTGATTGATGGGATTGCTGAGCGAGTGGCGCGTATGCACGAAGCGCTCGCACCGCAGAGAAGGTAACTCCGTGAGAACACCCTTGAGACGGCCATTGTGAGATGTGAATGTATACAATTAAGAGCAATGCAATTGGCCAGAGAACCCTAAGATTGTTGTGCTTGGGTGCAGGATGTGCGTCAACATTGGCCGGAAAAGTTCCACGCCTTGTCAGAGCGCCAAGGCCTGCTATCGATAACGCACTGCAAGGCTGTACTATCTCTTGTGCATCTTGAATCACTCGCTTAACCGAAATCTTCTATCGGTTCGAAAATGGGCTAGCTTAGCTCAAGTACAGATTCATAACATATCGAAGTGAACTATACTTCATTCTGTGAACAATTCATGAATATCTGCTTGATCGGTGTCTTCGTCACACAACATGACTTTCCCCATAATACCGTGTACGTTCTGTTTTATCGGTGATGTGCTATATGGAGACGAACGTTTCCCTTTTCTTATTCGTTGTATGTACGGTCTCTGTAAATCATGAGTCCTCTATATTTCGGACTGCCGATATAAACAGCACAATTATAATTGTTGGTACATACGACCATAGGAAACTTGGACCACTGAAACCCGTCTGATCTTCTTTAGTTAAACAGTTTACCGGCGGGTCAGTAGTCAGGTGGGTGACCACTGGCGAATCCCCGCTGTCGTATGTTTTTGATGTTTTATTTTTTTTGGGACGTGGGGCGTGTTCGGTCCTGGGGATTTTGATGTATCAACAAAACATGTTTGAACAAATAGCTCATGTGTGGTAAGGAACTTGATTGTCGCGGCACATGATGAACTGGCGTCTGTTTTGATGAGTGTAAAGTATATACTGGAAGTATTCAGATGCAAAGTTTTGTCTTAATCTATGATCGTGCGCGAAATTGCAGCATTGGTCCATCCTTTTTGCTGGCGAATACATCCATGATCTGGTACTCAGTCTCCCTATTCCTGCCCTCCTCCAGCTCCTTGCTTCCTGCACCCAGAGTCATACCGGGAGCTAATCTCAGATCGTACAAGTACAAAACTCTTGCAATCGTCACAGTCAGTTCGACATACGCCAGACCCTTACCAATGCACCCACGGGGACCAATGCTGAATGGGTTGTATGCTGACTGAGCCGCCTGGAGACTGCTATGGTGAGGGTTTACCGTAGGGTCTGGAAGCCAGCGCTCAGGAATGTAATCGAATGGTTGAGGAAAGTACTCAGGGTTGTGGTGGATTGCGTAGATGGGAACACCGACGTCTACTCCGGCAGGAATGTGGCGGCCATCGATATCTAGACCTCCAGTGAGAACCTCTCGGGGAAGAGCACCGGCCACCGGGGGCGTCATGCGCATCGTTTCATCAATGCACGCGCGCAAGAAAGAGCAGCCGCTGAGTTTGGGTCCAGTGACGATTTCCTCGACATCAGCAAAGGTTTCACGGATTTCCTTGCACACCTTTTGCATAGCTGAAGGGTTGTTTGCGAGATAGAACATTGTACCGGCCATGGCTGTTGAAGTAGTATCCGAGCCGGCGATGATAAGCAAATTCGACTCGCCCCACAGCTCATCCATGCTGAAGCCGTTGCCAGTTTCTGGATCCTTGGCGTTCAGCAGATAGTAGAAAAAATCCTTGCGATCAACATCTAGGCCCAGCTTGGTGCGCTCCATGGCTTGTCCCTTGCTGTACTGCATATACTGTGCACGCTGGCCAGCAATCTTGCGGAAGAACAGCTTGTCCAAGTGCCAGTTGTGGATGGTAAGATGCGTACCACAAATCAAATGGCGATGTGCTGCGTTGCCAACCAACTCGGTAGCGAAACGATTAGCAGGGCTTTCTAACATGCCGAAAGCCTTTCCGAATACTAGATCGCCCATGATGTCAAAGACAAGCCACTCGCACCAGTGCGCGGCATTCCAGACGTCATTCCAGCCACCGTCTTTCTCGTCGCCCATGGCTTTCCCGGAAGACCAATTGTTGCTTTTGCGCGCGAGCATTTCACAGCCAACGCGTACATTGGCCAGGATGTACTTTTCCAGACTCTTGATTGCAGAATCGCTGAATGCATGGCTCATGACTCTCCTTTTCCGGGCATGTTGCATTTTGTCAATTGCGCTGTGCACGCTGACGGCCTTTGGTGTGCTAGGGAAGGCTTCGTAGAATGATGCCTTCTTGACATTGGAGCGGAACCCATAGATAGTTTTCAAACCGGTTGCCGTGTTGACGGAGAGCAAGTTGGGTCCTAGGCGCACGTATGTACCGTATTTCTCGTGTGCACGGTGGAAAGCGAGATGCCGTGAGCCTTTGTAGGCATAGTAGGCAAGGTAGATGTCGGTGATCTTTGCGAGGAAAGGGCCCGGGTAAGAAGCCAGAGGGTGAAGGGTGAGTCGATAGACTATGACGCCGAAAATCTGTTGTTTCGGTTAGTCTCGTGTATGGATAGATCGTCGAGCAGCTTACGTAGAGTGCCAGCGCTCCAAGGAGGGAGCCTAGGAGGAAGAGAACAGCCATGATGGCGGTTCAAGTAAGTTTTTCTCGTAGCAGGTCTGAGTTCAGGCAGGAAATGTTATTGATGCACACACAATCTCATTGCCACGAGAAGATATTCTCGAGAAGAGTGATCAGAAACACGCTCAAATCTCTTGTACAACTGCTCCATTCTGCACGAGGAAACAGCAACCTAAGTACTCCAGCGCGCTTCCACCACCATCCGCATCTCCCCCGGATACCCTCTGCATCTGCAATGACAAAGGATTTCAGCCCGGTGAAGGGGTCATCTGCCCTGTTACTAGAGCTTAGTCGAAGCAGGATCCATGCGGGAACACTGGGTATATGTTGCGGCGCACTACGGCTACCGTCGGATATTCGAGCAATGCATCGGGATCCAACCAGACACAGCGGATATCGAGGCAGGCGATGACGCTAACGCGGATAATGATGCAGCTTAGTAGTTCGACCCGCTTTTTGCAGTCAGGAAGGGCGCGGATATTGGGTGCGTAGGCGTGGGAGGGAGAGGATGGCTGGTGGAAGACTCCATGGCGATTACCGTGCATTCATGCATGTCAGCACTGTCACTATCTCAAAAGTAAACATGGCGTCATGTATCGTGATCAAGTTCCGCCCGGGGAACCGCGATCACTCTGCACCCGCAAATCACCCGTAGAAAATGTTTTGTTGAGCAAAGTTGATTCGCTGATCCGCAGAGGTGCTATCTAGAAGATGGCACAGCGATAAAGCAACAGGAGATTCGAGCACACGAGTTTTGTAGCTTCAGTTATCTAGGCCAGTAGATATCTGATTGGTCTGGGAGGTCTAGAAGCGAGTTCTAGCAAAGTGGGTGGCAGTCAGAGCAAAATGCAGTTCATGGTGCGCGCTCTCGTGAGGTGATAATGACTTCTTTACGAACTCGGATTGGCGAGCTATAGGCAGACCAGGATGTGAAGTACGTTATTCAATTATAATTACTTCTTGGAGGAAAATGTGGAAGCTTTAGACAAACTATCGAAACGTGCCTGAAGATGAGCTTCGAATGTCCGATTCTTCGCTCAACGTACATTTGCCTGCCAGTCTGGCCTACACACGCATGCTCAGGTTGATTGTGCCTCCTTGATCACAGCCCACACGAAATCTGTGATGCAGACTGGAAGACTGAGTTTTCATCGTGAACAAAACAGGATATTCGAATATCATGTATTTCCCGCCGTTACGTTACGTGTGATACAGGAATGCGTTCATGTGCGATTTCAGGGTGAATTGACGAATGAGAAAGCGGCAATTCCCAAGCGGCAATCGCCGTCTTGGCAGATGTCGAGGCTCGCGAACATCAACCTTGACGATAGCATCGTTGAACGCGCGACAGCACCACGCACGCACTTCGACTCGACCCTGCTCCTCCGTTCTGCCCAGGCAATTGAGCGCCCAAAATGGCTAAGAACTTGAAGACGGCGGTCTTCTCGGTACGGCTCGCCCAATCCCATAGCAGCATGCCCTCGCCCGAACGCCCCTCCACCTTCTATTATCACTGCAATTGAAGGCATCATGCTGATGATGCCCATGTAGAAATATACTGTCCAACCTACCGGTATCTATGCAGCTATCAACAGGCTCTTCGCGCTCGACCCCAAGCGTTCCACGGGTGTCCCACTGAACCCGCAGTTCCGTAACCCACCTCCCGGCGCAAACGATCCCATGGCCTACGACGATCCCGTTACTGTTCCTGCTGCCGACATCGCTGAGAACCCGTACTGGAAGCGCGATGTGCGAAGACGCTACCCTAAGCTCTCGACTGTCACCCAGGCCGACGCGGTTGCATTGCTCGAGGTTGGAAGCGCAGCAGCGCCTAAGCAGGAATTGATTGGTGAGGCGGGCTCCAAGTCTCTGATTGCTGCCCAAGAGCAGGGTGCGAAAGGACTTGCTGTTGCGTTTGAGAAGAACACTGGACTTGCAAAGGATGTGCTGGGACCCGGTGGAATGCCTCCGCTTCCTAGCGGCCTGCACAGCACCGGTGTTTCGGGACACAAGCGATATGATTTGGAGCAGGACCAGTCATACGGTGATGGGTACGCCACGAAACAAGTCTACTTGCAGGCTATGGTGCTAACAGGATATAGGTACCCGTGCCGGACATTTGCTTAGATTGGAATATAGCTCCTGGTAACGACACCCAAGATAGATACATTGTATACATGAGGCTTCTCTTCCTCCATTTCATTTCATATTTCCATCAACTCTTCAAATTTCATGTAAGAAGTGCCCTTCATCTGTGCTAGTCTCCGAACGTGCTGCGCTTTTCTTGTGAATGTTCCCATTTCATTTCTCATAATGTTCGCGCTGTCACAGTCACAGTCACCTCTCACCTCTCACCTCTTACCACCCAAGGAAGGTACCACTAGGGTCTCTTGTCTTGGCATCGTGGTTTGCAGCTCCCAACTTCTCCGTCACACACAAACTACGTGCACCTTACTCTCACTTTCTGCGCCATTGCTTCTCCAATATAGACAATCGCAAAGATGGGCTCTACACCCGAGAAAGGGCCAATGGGATTTGGTTCTGCTCCCCTTAACTTCATCTACTCCTGTTCGCTCTGCAGCTCTACCTTTACCGATGTATACGAAGGCCACAATGAGTCCGTTCGCGGTCTATCGGATGGCATCAACCCTAAGGACCGCCTCGTGACGCGGCTCTTCCTCGCAAGCTGTTGCCATGTCATTTGTAGTAGCCATCTCGAAGGTGGAGGTAAGTGGCCGCAATGCCATGTAAGATGACTGCTAATCATTATTCAGGGCCGCCTTTCCATAGCGACAAAGAGCGTCCAAAAGCGCCGTGCCCTGTGTGCATCAAAGAGAAAGGCGACAGTGAGCCTCAGTTTCTGTACTCGATTCGTGGCTTCAATAAGAACGAATACGACCCCATGATCCCACCGTCCTGGTTCACTGCACCGCCAATTCGACTTGATGGCAATGGCAAGGAGATGGATGCTTTGCGTGTATGTCACTACCCTGTACATGTACGAACATAAACACCTAACATCATGTAGTTCCAATACATCGCGCTCATAAGGTACTGCCAAAACACTTATGCGACCCGCAAGCCTCTCGAACAAACCCTCAAGGAATCAGAAAAGAAGCTTGCCAGCATGCGCAATCTCGTGTCTGAAGAGCACGCAAAGACAATCAGTTTAAAAAAGGAGATCGACGAGCTAAAAGTGCAAAAGGATCAATTTGAAGCCATGCAGGCCGAGATTCAGCGGCTACAAGGTGTTGAACAGGAGTTTGAGCAACTCCGTAGCCTCAATGTCAATGCACGAGATCTGAAGACATTTATTACGAACAAGTCAGCAATTCGACACTACTTGAAGCTCGTTCCGATGTTGATAGAGTAAGTGAACTATGTTTGTAGCACATATGATCCACTAAAATTCCCAGACAGAATGAGAAGATGCAAAAGCGACTCGCCCAGCTAGGATTTGCAATGCCTATGCAACCTATACCGAACTTCAAGGGGGTGGACCCCAGCGCGTTCGATAGTGACGAAACCCTCGTTCGTGATGATCACAGGGACTTCAAGGAAGTGTTGCGAAAAGCCACTTCAAGTCATACTGTTAGTGGATATGCACACGCATCAGACAAAGTAGGAATGAAGTCCTCGAGCTCCTACCTACGGCGGCCTGGTAAGCGGCAACGTCTTGACTCTCCCCTTCCTAAAGATATGCAAGTCGATTGTTCCCCAAGTGGACAAATGATGCCGCCCCCAGCAAAACCACTATCGAGGATGCAATCCATGCGCAAGATGTTCCCCACTCTACGAAAGAAGTTCTCCAGTGACCGGTCTTCCCCTTTGGCAGACGAAAACCTGGGGTTTGGTAGGGGTGTTCAGATGTACAAGGATGCAAATTGGCAAAGTGCCAACATTACGCGACAAGAGGCTCACAATGGATTTCATAGCGAACCACCGTACATGTCAGGTGCCCTTCCCATGGAGCAACAATCTCAACATTTGGGCTCTAGGAGTCCGCAACCAAACGCCAAGATTGGCATGCATGAACACCAGTTCAATTTCATATTTCGAGCATCCTCACCTGCCAAGGCGGAGTCTTATAGTCAAAGATACGATCCGGTCCAACTAGCCATTGAACCGTCATATATTCGCCTGATGGATGGCCTTTCGTGCGGAGATGAAGTCGAGCTGGGTTTGAAAGACCCGGGTGATAACGCTGGCTTAGACTATCAAAGTGACGGAAGTAAAAGGCAAGTAGGGCATGTGTACGAGAATCAGCCCATCCCACAAACTACACAACGACAAAAGTTCCGGAGTCCAGGAGAATTTTCTATGCACTCGTCTCCGCACGGATCATCTGCTTCTGTTGAAGCTTACCAGCGACCTCCACAATCCAGACCGACTAACACATCTACCAACAGACTGTACAACAGACCAAATCTTGGCCGCGCCCAGCCGTCACCTATAAGATACCATCATCCAGGGAATTCGATCGAGAATGTAGTAAGTCCACATTTCAGAGATAGTCATAGCCAGGCCCAAATCTATTCGCCATCCGGACTCGCTGAGCCTGAGGGTAGTTCAAATCATTCCGCCGTCTATCGGTCTCAAAGGTCAACGATGGCAAAGCCTCAGGCTAATTGGCTTGAGCCACGCGGCCTGAATGGGCTCTCTTTCTTCGATGTACCCATCAGTCCTAGGAATAGGAGTGGGGGATTGGCGCGGAGCTATAATCGAACGAATTTAGAATCAAGTCTTCCCTCAAATTATCGCCAAACTCGTCATGTAGACTCGAGCAGATCTATCACAAGACCGGAGACCGAATGGCCGCAATACTCGGGCAATGATGCATATGTTTCTTCAGAAAATCAACCATCCTATGTCAGGCAACCGACTGGATATGTTCGCACAGTACCATCTCCATCCTTCCGAAAGAATCCCACACATGATCGAATTGAAAGGGTACTATCATCGATGCCTTCGGTCATCTCGGGGCGTTCTTCTGGTCGCTCACAGCTCCAATGGAAGAATTTACAACGCGCTGGTGTCAGAAGTAGCCAAAACGTGTTTGGCAGCCTTTCCAGAAACAGACTCGGTCCTTTGTCTAAAGATATGACTTCCGTCTCTAGTCGGCGCAATGTTGTGCGATGACGGCCCTCAAGCAGGCGTGTGGCCTAGATAATCATTCCTCAAGGTGCTCGTTCAGTGGAATGCAGATGGGAAGCATTTGGATGGGTTTGGTCGCACTCTGCTTCCGCTTTATGAACTTGAAGGAGAAGCAGGATTATTACCATTCTATCGGTTCAGGATCGCCGCTCACTGTTCGTCCTTGTGCTCTTGCAACAAATGCATGGAATGTGGTTTGAAGAGAGATCTGTTTACTTTGTCAACACTTTACATACCCACTAGTTGATCTTTGAATATTGTCATGGTCTGTCATTACGAAAGTATATCTATTGTTCACCCGACAAATGTCGCCCTGCCGCATGAAGTATCAGTACCTCCACAAGCCCGCTCTTGCAAAAGTGAACTATTGATTTCGCTAATTGCGCTGACAATAGCACAACTAACCAGTTTTCGGTGAAGTTGTGGGCCCTAGAAAAACGGATATAGATGAGGTATCTGACGGCTTGCGCTTACATTTTGAGTTGTGGCCGTGAATGGGTGGCGTTGTCCATTTCATCAATTCGCCGAGAGGGAACATGATACCGTTGTCTAGTACAAGTCTCATCTTTTCGTCAGCATGATGTTGTCGCACGAGCTGGATTCAGAATGGGTGTCAAGCAATTTAAACTTTCCGTTGTAAAGCTTGGTAGTCGTTTGGCACGGCTTCTCCTCGCGATGTTGGGGTTTTAGGCGGGATTACTGCGTGTAGTCAGTGCGTGCAACAGTTCAGCCAATGCAACACTATCTGCCCAATCTGTAACGATGTTACAGCCTCGCTAAGTATCGGACCAATCCCAGAGCCGGATCGGAGGAAGTATCAGCCGCCCCTTCATCAGCTACTCGTTTCTCAGTCGGATCCGATTCGGACCCGACTAGGACAAGTATATAT